CAGGTCTTCAAGGCTTCAGGTCGTCAGAAGGCTTCAGGTCGGCAGAACACTTCAGGTCGTCAGAAGGCTTCAGGTCTTCACGTCTTCAAGGCTTCAGGTCGTCAGAAGGCTTCAGGTTTTCAAGGCTTCAGGTCTTCAGGTCTTCAAGGCTTCAGGTCGTCAGAAGGCTTCAGGTCTTCACGACTTCAAGGCTTCAGGTCGTCAGAAGGCTTCAGGTCTTCAAGGCTTCAGGTCGTCAGCAGGGCTTCAAGGCTTCATGTCTTCAGAGGCAAGTCACCCGGGATTGCCAACACACTGGAGAGTCTTGGGTGTTGGGTTTCTGATGGAGAGATGGTGCACGGCGAGGAGTGGATGAGTATCACAATAAGGCCTTTGGATTCTTTGGTAGGTTCACAAGCTAGATGAAATCTCACCAGCTAGGCTTTGCCACTTTGGCAAGTTTGATTGTTGAGGGGGCTACAAAGTGCATTTGACAATGCAGTTGGGATTTTGCATGGGCCTCCAGTGTTCAGTTATGTGTTTTGGCCGATCTCATTCAATATTGTCGCCACCTCATTTTGCAAAATGCAATTCTGGCGATCAACACGAGATCCCTGCTGCTGGGTGTGTTGCCAAGGGTAAGAATGTCACAGGGGTGGCATGCCGCGGCCTTTAGCCTTGGTTCAGGAACCTTTGTGAAGATTTGTCTTCTCATCAGCCGTGTAGTCTTAGGACATGTGGAGGTCACAGGCCAAAAGAATCTGCAAGTATATTCACTTTCTCTAACCCCCACATTCCGCCCAATCCCCATGTCCTTTACCGGTCACTCCCCCCAACTCGTGCTTATTTGTTGCCACACGGCAGGCCGAACGGCTTCGGGAGCAAGCGCGGCAGCCAAAGCCCTTGGGCCTGAGCTTTGCCACCGCCTTCCTGGTGAACGGAGGGTGCGACAGGGTGGTGATTCCGGTGGCAGAAGGTACTGGGTTTTGGACTACTCAGGGTGGATCTTTGGATGGGGCGACTCTGGGATTTGTATGAATTGCACTACTTAGGCAGGTGGCCGCTGTATGTATGCACTCCTGTTGATTGCATTGAACAGTGCTCCTCACCCAACGGGGTACAGCGATTCCGTTGTTTGCTGAAACGATTTCAATTGACTTCCCAAATATGCTGGGTTGCTGCCGCCAGGCCAGAAAGGATGGAACCACTGAGTGCTGGCTTGTGTGCCATTGCGCCGATCTCATGAACTGGCCGGGACTATGGGGACATTGTCACATGCATCAGACCATTTCACCCCTGCTTCACATGGGAAAACAAACCTCACATCCTGATTCTCGCTCGTTCAGTGCTGTTGTTGACGTTCGCCTGTGGTTGCCTGTGGATCGGAGCATGTTCGAGCAGCATGGTGGTTTCGGGTTCACTTGCAGCCCCAATTTGGATTCCTAAAGGGACATCCAGGAATGACATGCAGAAAAAGGTCGGGACCGCTTGGCGCTCCTGAGCGCTCCTCGCGGTCAGATGAACCAAATCTGTACACTGTGCCAACACGACTAGAGCGCATCAGCAGGCCTCCGTTGGTACCAGTCGGCTGAAGAATGAGGAAGCACAACCCCGTTGGCGATCGAAAAGGGTTTGTTTCACACCCACGCAAGCCATTTGTAAATTAAGCCGCTTTCTTGGTTTCAGAGCTGCGAATCAGAATTTCCGAGCGTCTTTGCAAAGACGAAGACTGCTTTGGAGCGTCAGACGATCGCCGTTGTATGACCAGCATTCAGCCGACCTTTCAGGCACCGGGAGTGAGGGGTTTCGGGCGAGGGGTTTCACGCCCAGGTTGCGAGAAGACTGCGAGGACACATCATTTTTGTCACGTGACCCATGCACTCGTTGTAGCGCCAGGTGGAACCAAGTCAGGTTTTCATCAACATGAAGGGGGATTGTGCAAGCAGAAAAGCTCTTCTAGGCCAAGCAGGTCTGCACATGTCTGCACTCCTTTTCCAGGCCAATGAGTGGCCAATTGCTTTCGCCACTTCAGGGGTACTATCCTGCTCCTCCTACGTGATGTTTCGAGGCATCTGAAAACAGCGTTTCTTCGGTCTGATGCTTCATGATGCTTCAAACCAGCAATTGTCGGACCCTGATCTCATTTAGTTCAATCAAAGCTGTTGTATGTTGCTTTCGTTTTGTGAATTGAGATCGTTTTAATTTTAGAAACCATATGATTGGCTCAGACAATCTCACAACTTCTGGGGAACGTGGTAAAACGCTGATTTCGTGGGCGCAGGTGTGTGGGCGCTGATCTTCGTGGTGCATCTCGCGGTGCATATGTACCTTTACATTTATCTGAGGGGTGAGGCTGCGATTCCGTGGGGGCAGGAAGCACATGATGTGATGTTCACATGCAAACCCCTAGGCATGAGAAGCGGCATATCATAGATGGATTGATTGTCATAGGCATTTGTATTTGGGCCATTTGGGCCCTCAACCAATCTCGTAGCATCAGAGACCTTCAAGATAGACAGCCCCGCAAAGTAGGTGATGAAACCAACCCACACTGGGGCCCCCAAAAAGCTGCGATCTTCAGCTTGCCTGGATGATTCAGTCTTAGTTGATGTCAGGGGCTGTACTACTTCATGTTCCAAAGCCGGCAAGCCTTCATCTTGCAAACTGTGGCCACTGGTCTGAAAATGGGGACGGTGAAGGAGGTCGCAGCGCCATGCTGTGCCTCTGCAAGCGACCAAGGAGGTCGCTTGCTCACTTACTCACTGGCCGCTTCAAAGAATCGCTGAAACAGTGCGAGTGAAACTTAATGACTTGCCACCTCAGCCTTAGCCAATGCTTGGATTGCAAGCCACTCCCCCAGGCCAATTTTTTTCCATCAGCTCAGCTTCTTCCCAACGACCCGACGGCTCCGCTGGGTGGCTCAGACCATGGTGCAACAGTTCGTGGCGGCGCTGGCCGGGCTGCCAAAGCTTCCCCGCAGCAGCGATACGGTGGAACCTCTGTGATTTGGCTAAAAACGGGCGCAAATCTGGGTGTGCATTGAAAAAAAGGAGACTTCCAAAAGACCTCAAGCCGGTGTATTTCATTTCCTGGTCCGAATGTTGCACCTTCGTCCCAAAAACTCTCATGTTTGGAAAAAAGACCCTAGTCACACCTCATGAGAGAAAAATAAACCAGTTCGCAACACCCACTCCAGAAGGCAAACCCCTATTATACAACAATTTTTTTGCAGGAATAGCTGCAGCTTCAGTTGCTTCAGCTGTGCTTCAGCTCATCCAACCGCACCAGGTGGGTCCGAGCAGTGGTCCTCATCGACTCCTACGTCCAACCACAGCGCCTGGGCGTCCTTCCGCTCTCGCCCGCTCCGTTCGACCGCTCCGCGGAACCGCGTAGGCATGGCAACCGAGGGAACTGAGGGATGTTTGAGAGGAGGAACTGAGCCGACTTTCAATGGTTTTGACTTGCAAAGGTTTGCCGAACAAATGTTGAACACCGACCTGCATGTGGCAGCCATATAGAGCAAACTTCGGTAAGTTGGCGCACACTTGCAGGGCATTTGGCATCACTTACATCTATTGGGGATGGATGGGCTTTGCGCCGGCAGAGATGATGGATGAAGTAGAGCTCAAGCCAGTCGTTGACTACTTGGCGCCCCGGCCTGCAAGTGGACATTCACACATCATCCATGGTGGAGCTGTATATATGCCGTACTCAGTGGCATCATTTGTATGCTTCACGGCAGGGTTTTGTCCCAGTGTGTGGTGGGGTGCACGGAGCTTTCCTTATTTTTAACCTCATCATGTCTAGAGCCTGGCTGAATCCAGATTCTTCAGCACAGTCATCGCTTGCACAACGTCCACAGGGTTCACAGGCTCCACATGGCCCACGGTGGCTGAAGCTTCCAAAGGCTGCATGGGATGTTTCTGAGAAAAAAATCGGTGGTGGCGCAGTCCTGGCCTTGTTCTTTAACCTTGAGTTTTCTTTGGAAGATGCTGGTCATGCTTGGGTGGCCCCGATTCCTGAGTCGTTGCCCAGTTTCAGTGCTTAGTGAGGAGCCTTGCACTTTTGGCAGGGATCTGAAGATGGAGAGTTGAGAGGTGAGTGGCTACACACATCCTGGCTCTGAAATTCGTTGCATCCTGTTTTACGATTGTGGCACCCACAAAGGATGCCTTCATTCACGGCATCAACTGGGCTTTATTGCTGGCACCTTTCCTCTTAATGGGTGGGGCGCCGGCGGGGCGTGGGGTGTCTTGCAGTGTTTTGCTGTTCAATGTTGTTCCTCAGAGTTGTGAAGACCATCGCTGAATGACTTAATCTAGACAGTTGATGAAGAAGCTCCCCCATGAAGAGGTTTTACAATCCACGTGGTCGACTTCACGCGTTTTGGTCGACTTTCTCACATGTTTGCTTCCTATTTTTGTCTTGCTAGTCGCTGGTGTGACCTGAGTGTCCACAGTGACACTCTGAACCGTCCAAAGGGTCTGCGCGCGTACTCAGAGTGAGAGGGATAGAACAGGTTTTACAACCATAAGTACAGTAACATAATGTATATACGGGGTTGGCCGTTAATCCGAATTCCTAGCCGAAAAGAGTCCGTTTCTTTGGCATTCTTTAATGTGGTGGGCGGCCCATGCTTGGTGCATTTCTATGATGAGACGAAGTTGTTGTTTTCTGCCCTACGGATACTACTTGTGACCTGTCCGGTCGCATGGATTGAGGTCAGCTTCCTCCTGAGTCGAATTCCCTTCAACTGCTCTAGCTTGGGCGCGGGCCTTCTTCTTGGCTCTGTGTATGTCTTGTGGACCTATGTTCACTACCGCCTGGAAATTGGCACGCCCTTCGATTGTGAGCCTGGGCGGGAGTTTTTGGGGTCCGATGGTGGAAGGATTGGCACGGCTCAATGGTGCTCAGTTTCAACGGAGAGTGGGCACGGTGGACTCTTCGAGCTTCCGGAACCCTTTTGCAAGGGCTTTTGACCAACAACCCCTCACTGTGTGAGTTGGTGGTGAAGGAATCTTAGGGAGGTCAACATAGATTGGCAGATTGGCTTGGGTTTCCTCGAATCCTTGTTGATGCTTGTTGGAAAAGCTGACCGGGTCCATATGAGACAATGCCAGACATTGTAAGACTCTTTTGTTATGTGATGCTGCGATGCATATATATGCATCCCGCCTTCAGCCCTACAACGGTAGAAACTACCAATTCTTTTTGGCTGGGCTCGTGCCTTCCACGACGTGTTGCCAAGGATGAGTATCCTTTTCAGCGAGAAAGATGTCCCTTGTATGATGCCTTTGATTGGAACGAACCATGGAGAGCCTTGCTATTTGTTCTCTTGGCTGCTCGCACTCAATAGTTTCAGCGTCCTGCTACGTGGATTATGTTTTTTTGCTTGCTTTTTGGAGTGGGTGAGTCAAAACGAGTGAATGTTCGGAAGTTGGCACCGTTTGATGCTCCGTGTCAAGAGGCTACCAGTGGTTTGCACCAATGTAGATGATGGAGGTTGTTGGAATACCACTCCTTCTCCAGTCCATGTGGCGAACAAAAGCCCCTCATGCCGTAGGCTTATGGATTAACCGCGCCCATCAACACTTTGTCTTATGTGGCCTTGGCCTATGGCCGGAGCCGCTGTTGCCCGGAGAAGGTGGACGGGGACGAATATATATATATACACACATTTGTTAGTGACGGGTGTGTGCTGTGATGGGTTGTGGATTGTGAACTCGTCTTGACGCAGTGACATGTTCTCTTTACTAGCGTCGCTACTTACACATTGTCTTAGAAAGAATTCACATGTACATGATACAACCATGACCTGTACAGCAATACAGTAGTCTCTTGTGGAGTCATAGCGCCGGAGGGAGGCGTTCCCAGTAGCCCTTTGGAAAAGTGGTGGCAGTTGGCATAAATATGGGTACGGGACCTCCAACCAACTGGAGATGGGGGATTCAGTCAATCTTTGTGGGAGTGCTTTTCAACATTTAATTTGGATAGGCCACGGAGGAGAAGGTGCAGCTTCTGGAAGAGGAGAGACCTGCCGAGCCTGAATTCCAGAAGCCCTGCTGCTGCGGCTGTGGATGAAACCGTCACAGATGGCACCAATGCCCAGAGATCATGTCGAGAGCAGTGTCGAGAGCAAATAGTGGTTTTGCAAAAGAACGTTCGTAGGAAAATACGGTGTCGGGCACTTGGTGACATTTGTGTGCTTGTGACTCGGACACCTCCAACACCATCCAAAGCTAGATGGTATCATGGCATAGATGACTGGATGATCA